TAACTGTTTTACAAAATGACTGCAAATCCCAATATTGGTTTTTCCAGAAAACAGATCCAAACACTGATTCCATCGTTACGACTTAGTAGGCTGACTTTGGCTTGTTAGATAATAAGGATAGGCGCGAACTGGCCCACCGAGAAAAATCCCAGTGGCCCGAAAAGTGCGTAAAAAAAAATAAAGGATTAATGCTCTGTCAGCGCAGTAGAGGGATAGTCATTTGTCTATTTACATCCAATTAACATGTAAATTAACACTTATGTTAATTCTACGAATAATGGTTTGGTTTGGTTATAATTAAGCACAAAGCTACACAATGGGCTATCTGTGCTCTGCCCACCACGGGTATCGAAACCCGGATTCTAGCGTTGTAAGTCCGCAGACATACCGTTGTGCCAAGGGGGGGGCTACGAATAATGATGTGTGTCGAAAAGGATTCATTTGATATCTCTGTTGAAGACTCTATCTCTTATCTTGTAAAGGATTCCTTTTTGATTGGCCTGGCATGGCCAGGTGGTTAAGGCACTCGACTCGCAATCTGAGGGTCGCGGGTTCGAATCCCTGTCACACCAAACATGCTCGCCTTTTCAGCCGTGGGGGCGTTATAATGTTACGGTCAATCCCACTATTCGTTGGTAAAAATAGTAGCCCAAGAGTTGGAGGTGGGTGGTGATGACTAGTTTAGTCTTTCACTGCTAAGTTAGGGACGGCTAGCGCAGATAGCCCTCGTGTGGGATTCCTTTTTGTTTTCTAAAACTGCTGATCACATGAACTATGTATGATTAGTGTTTTAACATTAAATTACACATACATTTCTGTTATTTTTAACGCAAGTTTGTGAGCTCTTCTTGCAACTTTTTCCCCCTGTAAAATTCTAGTCCAGTCTGACCCTAAATAAAGAATGACCTTATGATACACGAAAACTACTGTTAATAATAATGTTCAAGTTTTCGAGCATCGATTATTTCATTTTCTTTGATAAGATCATATTTTTTTCAGCCTTCTTCATTGCAGTCCAAGTGTTCTTCACGTTTGGATTCATTGCTTTGTTGCTAGCTTGTGCCTTACTGTTGGCTCTACAGATATGTTTCCCTTCAGAAAAAGAAGTTTTAGCCATGAAGCTACTGAGTTTGTTGATGCTTATTGCAGGTATGTCTGTTATGTTGTCGCTATTAAGTTTTCAAGTCCAGAAAGCTAAATTCTCGAATACTCGTACTTTTGTTTCTAAGTTATAACAAACAAGAAAATGTTTTAACGTACATTCTGGCTTTCATTTTAATTAACTTATAATTATCAACGAATTTAGAGTGAATTGATTGATAAAAATAAATTAGAACGTATTTTCCAATTGAATATATTGTTCTAAATTGTTAGTTCGAAGACTTGACGTCACATTTTGTTCTAAATAATGAATACCACGTTCAGTGAAACGTTTAGAGTGATTTCAAGATGGAGAGTGAACCCATCAGTTTGCTAGTTATTACGTACACATAAGTTGATTTGTTTTACGTTATTTAATGTCGTTTGTAACGTAGGCCTACAACAAAGTTCTCGGCAGTGTATAAATGTTCCAATCTGTAGAAACAGTAAAGGAGGAAATAAAGAAATTTATTATCGTTACGTGAACTGAACGTTGAATTATTTTTGCCAGATAATTTAAAAGACCCGCCAACGAAAGAATTTGGCTACAACAATATATTTATTGCACATTTCTTAGGTAAAACGACCATTTTATTAGAATACCTTTTCTTTGTCAACATGCACAATTTTTTACCACGCATGGTTTAAAACAAATGTATGTTTGTTATATGTTTCTATGGGCATATATATATTTCAGTTAATGGACAGTTACCAGAAACTTTATTGTATGGACAGAATAATCATATTTTGGCGAAGTGTTAAGTTATTATAAATAATGCACAAAGTTTGGTTTCAGATGCTATGATTGAAAATTAGATGCATGTAGAAGTTATGGAAAAATTCAGTTCGGGGTTTTATGGAAAACATTTGTCTGAAATCACTTTCACATCAAAGTTTTTGTATATGATTATGACCGTTTAATAATATATTTGTCATAAAATTCAAACATATATTTTAGTACAGAATATTATGCGTTCATTTTCCAGCACTGCTTGTTCACTTAAAATTTTAAGATGGTCGTCTATTTGTCTACCGATTCTGTAAGTTAGGTTTCACTCGAGTAGAGCTAGTTTTTATTTGTCTTTGCGACTCATTGGTTCTTGGATCTTTTAATTTCTTTTGATTGGTGTTTTCATAGGAATCTGTTGTACCATCGCTTTAATCACTTTCGGTGCTCGCGGGGATGGCCGTGATTGGATGCCAGATCCTGACCACAACTACCTCTCGTGGTCCTTTGGACTTGGAGTGGTTGGAGCCTTTTTGGAGTATGTTGTCTCCGTACTGTTTCTAGTGGAGAGTCGACTAGCGAAGAAAAGATTGGCTATCAGAGAACAACAAAACTACAACCTTGAGCAGAACCAGAACAAAATGGGAACTGTAATTTAAACCGTGTACGAATGATTTATTTTTTTACAGGGCATAAGAACTGGTGCTTCTTGATACGAGTTGCATCAAAACATGTCTGAATAAGCAGCTTGTTATTGCAGTTTTTTTCGGTTAGACCATGAAGAACTTGACGTGGACCAGTTTTACAAATAATAACGTTTTTTTCTGCGTTAAATGAGAGTTGCTTTGAACTAATAGATCTTCTGTGCCCTATAACTTTGGTCGTTCTTTATGACTGAACATTGTTTAAGTGGCGATAAACTCTTTCATCGTACGACATGTTATATAGTAGTTCGAAAAAATTAACAGTTGGTGTGTTGATGCAAATTACTTGAAAGGTATACATTAACACCATAATGTTTCCTTAAGGAATCCCAATTAACACCATAATGTTTCCTTAAGGAATCTCATTTACTTGTTTATTGTGAGTGATCATGTCAACTTTGTCTCATATATTTACTCGTTTAATTTTATTATATTAGAATAGAATAAGGGCCTAAAAGACTCACCAACAATGCTAATGTTTTATTTTCATTTTACTTACTGATTAAGTATATTTTATTACAATTTACAGCTTTTACAGTAAATAAGATTTGTTTTTAGAACAGGTACGACGTTTTTGATCGTTTGTGCGATCATTCTCATTAGAAGTACAACAAAATAGTAACTGTGCATTAATGAGAATGATCGCACCAGTGATCGAAACGTAGTACCTGGTCTGAAAACAAATCTTACTTACTGAAAAAGCTGTAAATTTCAATAAAGAATGCTAATGTTTGTTTGATCTGATACGTATGTTTCTAAGTCTGTCTTAATAATGTGAGTAAATAAGATACGAGATATATTTTGAAAATAACTTTGCAGTGTATTACTTACAATACATATTTGACTTTTTACACACGTTTTACGTCATATAAAACTTTGGTTATAGGCAGATCGAGCTATTTTAGTAT